GGGAAAGGGTTCAAGTTTAGTGAATTAATTAGTTTTATTTTTCTTCTGTGTTCATGACAGATTTGCAACTTTTGAACTACATTTCATGTGTGCTGTTCAAACAATTGTTAATATTCTATTTATAATATAGCAGCAAGTACATTTTTTCAGATTTTAATATATATCTTTTGTTGTGGATTCATACAGTGTGTACAGTGCATTTTGGTGAAAGGAAACTTAAAATATTATGAATTTTTAAATGCTTTATAACTGCTGATATAGCATACAGCCTAAACACATTTTATAACACTAATCAGGCACACACTAAGCTGTGAATTTTTTGACTTGTATCTCTTTGCACTGACATTAAGTCAACAGACACAATACATAATGTTCAGGTGATTTTTAAAAAAAGTCTAGTACTCAAATTGTGTATGTTTAAATTGTATTAAAAAGATTACTAAATACCTTTTTCTTGGAAACCTTTTATATGTGAATCAGAACTTTATATGCATTTGATTTTGATGGAAAACTGTATAACAACTCAGCAGGGAGTCAGTGTGAATTGAAACAAACCTGAATGACCAGAATTGAGTCGAATTCAGGAAATTTCTCCTATTTTTTTTTTTTTTTTAATACGTGATTTCAAAGATGGATTTAAGAAACTTTACATTCAGTGAATTATGGAAACTGTGGAAATTCAACTTCAGGAAAAATATAATATCAAAATTTAAGGCCTGCAATTATGAATGTTCTTGTAAACGGTACACAGCTAAACTGTAGGCTTTGAGTGATTTAGAATTTTAATATTGCAGGAGTACTCTTTACCTGTGCTGTGCTGCTGTTCCACAATTACAAAGACATATTTTATTCTTTGGCAATTTGCATGTGTTCCTTTTTGGCTCAGGAATATTGCTGTGATTTTAAAAAACTACCAAGTCTAATAAAACAGCTTAGACAAAAAAAAAAAAAAGGTTAAATTTTGTAACCCTAACAGCAGTTGCCTTTTGGTTGGCAGGGAGATTTTAAATTTCTGTAACACTGTTTTGAAGTCAGGTTTTCAATTACCTTTTCGATTTCCAATTTCAATAACTTATAGTTAAAGGGACATCATTATGCCGGCTTATTTTGTTCTGGACTTCAGTAAGATTTCATGTAGGTGAGTGTTGCATCTGATTAATAGGCACAGAAGATGTTCCAAAGTGATTTCTTCTAGACTTTTCAAGAAAGCAATAATACTCTTAGACTGTGATGTGGTTTAGGGTGGAATGTACTCATAAAATTACCTGTGATTGTGAATTGCATAGCAATAATTTTTACAAAGCCATATTTTGCGATGAAGTTTGGGAGTAATTTTAGAATGGTGGATGGAGGACTTTTTGTATAACAGTGGAAGCCTATTTCTAGCATTATGGGACTGTGAGAGTATATTATGCTGTGATCAAATTTTAAGTATTTTGTAACTGGGTATGTGTTTTTTATGTGCTTCATGTTTACAAAGATATGCCAAGCTGGGCAAGGTCAAGAGAACTATTAAGGAAAACATTTGTCATCTGTTTTAATGTTTGGCTTTCAATAAAACACAGAAGATTATCTTTGTCTTTCTAGTGTCATTTTTTTTTCCAAAGTGTAACGCATTTACGAGGATAAATATTTGTCTCAGCTAGCAACAAATATCATTCTACAAGTTAATAATTTGATTATTCTTTTTTAAATGCACTTGTAAGTAAAATTTACAAAGAGAAAATATATCGTGAGCAGAAATATTTTTTATTTTTAGGTGGTTGTATGTGATAGGACTGGGCATGACTCTTTTACGATTGTTATATTTCTTGTTTTGTACTATTCACTATTAGGCAACTAATTTGACTTGAATTATGCCCATTGTATATAATTTCTATTTATAACTTAAAATGGGTGAGAAATTACTCTTTATACTTGCTCCACACATTTATCTTTGTTAATGTATCTACTCTTCACCCAAAATATTCCATATTTTAGTCCGTAGTCTAAATTAAAACTCATAACAGTGGCGTTGTCTATGCAATGCATGTGCTTCAAAAGAAGCTTGCATTTATTTTTGGCTTCAAACAGTTTGATATTTTAATGTTGAAATTGGAGTAAATAAAGAAGATAATATCTTCATATTTTCACATTACTGTATTATTTCTTGCTATATCTCAATCTATAAAACCTTGGATTCAGTTACTTTTTTTTGGAAATCACAAGAGCACCAAAAAGGAAGGAAAATTTCAAGTAAAAGCAGTATACTACAATATTATTTTAAGCCTTTTTTACCATCAAAGTAAGGTAAAGATCACTGTGGAGGGAAGAAGGCAATTTGTGCAGATGTAACTGATGAAATGTCTTAGTTCAGTATGGTGAGAGCCAACAAGATGAAATTTTTCTTTATTTTCAAAAGCAGTAACCTAGAAGAAGAATCTAGAGTAAATTAAGATCATCTGAGAAACTTTATCAAAATTGATGACAGCTCATTTAACAGAATGGAGATTGAAGGAAATCTAAGAGAACTAAGAGAAGCTGTTCTGATGCATAAATAGATGCAGACAACTATACATACAAGGGGTTTGGATCTTGATGATCTTAAAGGTCCCTTCCAACCCAAACCATTCTGTGATTCTGTGTATATTGTATGAGGCTCACTAAATTGTGAAGCTGACCAAGAAGTGGGAGACGGGCATGTTTTAGAGTAATAAGCTCATATCTTGTTCTTGCAGTGATGAAAAAGGACTGGCAGAACTCACAAAAATGTCAGATACCAGGGCAAATGGGTCACTAAGTGTTCTAGAGAGAATCAAAAGAGTTCCACTGAGAATATGAGAATTCACTTAATGAATATTAAGTGAAAGTACACAGGGAAAGTGAGTGGTTAGGTCACATAATCTATCATGGTTTATTGTCCTGTAATGATTTCTTCATTTGCTTTGAGTTAGTAGAAAAATAGAAATACAAGTATATCAACTATTGTATCTGGAGCTGTTATTACTCTTTTAAAAATACAGTGTTTCTGATGTCATATTGACAGGCAGACACACCTTTTTATTTACTATCACATGTACAAGAAACCTGTATTTTAGCACATCCCAAATAGAGCTGTCATTAACGTGCTGTTTGAGTAATAATATCTTCCAAGCTATTTTCTAGTATGTAATTGACTGTAAGTTTTTTTTTTTCTTTTTCTCTTTCATTTCTCATATCACAGCGAAGTTAATCCTCATTGTGCCTTGTATTGATTGTTAAAATCAGATATACTGTCTGCATGTTGTAGTAGTAGTTGGTAACAGTTGTCTCACTCTTCACTAAGGTGCACAGGAATTTCTTCTGAGACAGGAAAATAATTAAAGAAAAAGCCATCAGTACTTTGTAATATTTTTTGTGATGTTTATTGGGTATAAGTTGAAAACAATGATAATGTTAGAATTATAAGGCAAGACACTTAAAAGAGTAAGACAAAGAACAAAAGATGCTAAAAGGTCAGAGAAAGAGAAGACAAGCCTATCTCTGCACAAACTTTGTTCATGATACACAGACGTGATTTTTTTTACAAGCATGCTTTTGTGCTATAGTTGTGTTAACATCTGGTCATTAATTCAGTTGTTTATAAAACATGTGGGCTTAGTTTTTTTTAGAAGTATGACAAAAGCTTCCAAGTGCCTTGGTTATTTCTGAATATGAGACTTAGGTTTCCAATTTATATGAATGTTTTTCACTTTTAAATCAAATATGTATGAAGCCAGTATTCCCAAGACTTTTTAATTAATAAACAAAATACCTCTTGCAAAATAGTTTGTGTGTGTAGCATTTAAATCTGCCAAATATCTTTAGGGGAATGTTCATAAAATATCCTGTGACAGAAGGAATTAAGCAATAACTGAAGCATCTGCACAGAAAGATCTTCACTGTAACCACAGTTCAGTCAGTATAGTATGCTTACTTTTATTATTTCTTTAAAATAAATTAGTCTGGTTGGCCCAATCTTATTTTGGGTCTAAACTGTAATTATGTTTTAACTCTTTCTTATTGTAAACTGTTAAAATAAATTTACTTAAATGGAATTATATTTTTAATATTCTAGGAAAAGGTGAAACAGAGATTGAGCAAGACAAAATGGAAAAAGGTGAGTCTAAAACATTCTACTCTTCTGGATTCTTCTTACTTGAAATCTCTGCTTTCTGAGATAACTGATTTAAATTAGATTATATGATAGTGATGCTTCTAGATATCTTATGTCTGGAGTGTCTGACCTTCTGGCTTGCCTGGGCCACATTGAGTGAAGAGGAATTGTCTTGTATGTATCAACTGCTCTGAGAGTAATGTGATCTATTTATTTTCATGGAAACTACAAGGGATGTAAAGAGCTGGTATTGCACTGTGCCTTCCCAGTGTTCTGGTTTCAGTTCAGACAACGTTAGTAGCACAGTGTTGGTTTGGTTATTGCTGAGCAATAAGCACAGTCTGGGGGCTGGGCTGCTTGGAGGGGTGGAGCTGCTGCCTTAATAACACGGGACAGTTGGTGCTGGCATGGAGAGTTGTGCCAGGCTGTGGAACAGACATGCCCACCTTATGTACATAAATTGGTTTTAAGTATACAGTGTGCACCTGTTTGTAAGTAAACACACAGTCATCTTGAACTTACAGTCGTGTTGTTCCCCTCTTACAAAGTCATAGACTGCTATTAAAAACAACTGCTGTCTCAGAACTGGAAAGCTGCAATGTCCTAATCCCAGTGTGACACCATGCAGCTCAGATATCTTGAATGAGAGGTGAGGGGCTGTCAGAGCCTGCAAGACCCATTCAGTCTGTTGTGCCACTTGTCTGAGGTAAATAGGAGCAACCTATGAGTGACAGCACAGATGGGATATACTGTCACATAACCTGAATTATTGTAGTTTTATCTGCATTAATGGCTGATGGATTACAGATTTAAACCAATGTAGCAGTTATGTAGGGCAGTTGTATCTTTCTTTCTGTGCAAAACAAACTCAGTGGAGGAGAAACTGTAGATGCTTTATAAAGAGAAGGTAGCACTGAAATCAGTTTCAGGTCTGTGTTATACAATAAGGGTTTTTGTCTGGCCTGGTAAGAATATACAGAGGCAGTTTTTGTGGAAAAGTGAGTAATGCTGAGAGCACTGCAAGTTTTTTCTTCCCACATTTCTTTGCACAACCTCTGTCCTTCAGATCGAGGTTTGCATCTCTCCCTAGTTATACCAACTGACCACAAAAACCTTAAGGACTGTGCAGGCATCCTTCTCACTCAGGTAATGCCCTCAGAATAATGCTCAGGTAGTTCCTTCTAAATGAAGGTAAAGGGACTCTGCTGATGCCTGCTGCTTCTTTTTCATTCCTTTCTCATTTTATTTCTATGTGACTACTTAGAAATTGAGCTTCTCTGATCTTTTGATAAGGTTTTTTGGGGGGTTGTGTGCTTGTATTTTAAATACACACTTCTGGTAAACCATTTTAATGTTTCATTGGAATATTAAATATGACAAATACAAGCATTATGTTAAAACAGAAGCTTACAGTTAGCAGGTTTATTTGGGAAACAGTGCTGTGATATCAGCATTTCCAATCACAGAATAATAGATTTGGCAGAGGCACATCTTTTCCCCCTTGACAATAGGAGAAAACATTGGGATAGCTTTATTGACCTATTAGACCTGTAGACCAAGAAGGCATGTAATAGTTGTCTAATACAGGTGAAAAAGCATTCACGGGGAAAAATATTACCTTGTTTAAGAAAATGACAATATGCAGAATTGCTATTATCCAACATTATTAGTCAGAATTAATGAGACACCATTATTACTTGAAAGTATGACAAAACAAAGCTGCTTCCCTCCTGAACTCTGTTGCGGTTTTTTTTGTTTCTTTGTAAATACTTCACCACTAAATAAATGCTTCTTTTGAACCTTGCTATTGCAAATAAAAATAAGTGGGAAAGAAAGACAGTTTTGTTTTGTGTCTGAATTGACTAAATTATGCATCCTAGAGGAAAATCACAGAAGCAACCAAATCTTAAATGAAATTTATTTATAGATAAACTGGTTGTGTTAATTTTCGCAAATATAATGTTGGTTAATTGTTTAATAAAAAGTGTCAAGCTATAGGTAACTCAGACAAAAAAAAAAAGTTTTAAAAACCTAAAATTGGATTGGTTTATTTTATACTTCCCTGATAAGATGAAACAGTAAGTTTGTAAGAGATGCATTTATAAATATTGTGCTGTGGATGCCTGATATATGTAGAAAACCTGTGGAGTCAGGAACTTACAAAATCATACTTGGCTTATTTTGGGAGATCGTTTTAGTGATTCTGACAGAGCTCAGAGATTTATATACAGGTTTGCATTTGTATTTTAATGTTTGTACATACAAACTCCAGAAACCTTCAGTGACAAAAGCTAGTTATAAATTTGAGTAGATCTTAGATGATTAATAGTTCATTTTATGTATATAACACATATATACATATATGCTTGTCTTAAATATTTTTCAGACCTTTGCTAGTGAAATGTTTTAGTTTCTGTAAATTTAAATGTTTAGTTACTTCATCAAATTTGTTGAATTTCTAAATTTCATCTTCCTGATATTGAAAAAGAGATGAACTTTCACAATAAGTTTCTACTATATAAATCTACCTAAGAAAACATCAAGCTGGGCTTTCAGAAGGCTTGATGATGTTGAATGTTTATTATAGGAGAACTTGTTCCATGACATACTATATTGATTTCTTTTTTTATTATTTTCACTGATACAGAAGACATGGAAAAAAAGTAAGGTTGTCTTGCAAACCCTTTTAAGTGGTGTTTGTCAGGATTTAAACATATAGAAGAATTAAAAAGACTTTATCATCCCCTACTTGTTCTACTTGCTCCTTGCTATCTTCCCTACATTGATTCTTATTAGTCATAAATTTGGATTAAGATCCATATTTAGAGACTGTGCTAATCATGTCCTTCAGCTCCTTTGCCCTCATATAAAGGCTGTGTGTTTACATAAACAGTTAATATAAACAATATTATGAAAATGTACATTGCAAGGGAGCTGGTTATTTTAGGTACTTACCTATCTCTGACAAGGAAGAAAAATCCATTATCCAGAATGAGAAATCAGTACTTATTTGTTGCTATCTTAAAGAATGAAATAAATATTTTTTTCTAGGCTTTCTGCCAGCAGAAATCAATTTTGCCTTCTATTTCTGTGCTAGTCAAAACTCCTCTCAAAACTTCTCTAAAGAAATTAATAAATGCATTTGTAGTGTACTACTACTTCAAGTTATCTCTGTTCAATTACATTGAGAAGGATTGTTTGTCTTCTCCATGAAAATGTCATCATATTTTTATATTAAGGAATTGAAAGGCTTGGATGTTTCAGATGTACCTGAAAAAATAATTCCTTAAAATATTTCAAAGATATACATCCTGAATTGAACTATATCACAAATGTACTATACCAATCTCCATATGGTCTAGGGTTTTTTTTTTGTTTGTTTGTTTGTTTTGCATTTTATCATATGGCTAGCAAAACCTAAATTTAAGTAAGGAGTTTCAGTTTTCTGCTTAAGCTTACATTGGCACACAATGAATATTTATTGATACTGATCAAAACTGGATATCCAAACTGAGATTTGGATAAAAACTGAGTTTTAAGCAATGAATCTGTTTCTTTCATACACTTAACATCAGTATACATAATTACAAAATAATTTTCAGTTTCCAAAATTGATAAAACATAGAGGTGCAAAGGAATGCCATCTGATTGGAACACTAAGCTATGTTAGTGTACAGAGGTACACTTAAGCCAGGCTATGGAAAATGTCGTTCCACAAGCGGCCCTGCAAGTGTCACCTGATATTCCTTTTTTTTTTTTTAATCTACCTTTTCAGCAGGATATGTAGGATTCCACTGATGCCAGTAGAGTTCTAACCTGTGTGACTTGTGGAGTATAGGGTGCTAGGCTTCTCACTAAACTTTTGCTGCTGGGTTAGATGAAGTAAACCCTAAACTCCATTAACAACCTTTAGCAGGGCCTGTACATTTAACTGACCTCCGGCATTGTCAGCTCAAGTTAGATGTAAGCCCCGTCATTAAGGGTGTGTATACTTTCTATTTACTTAGATATTTAATTATAGCTTGCATCAAATATGAGCTGTTCGCAGAATGATCAATGTTTCACTTGCATAGAAGTGCACTTTTCAAAGTCCAAAGAGCTGCATAACACTATGCTAAGTTAAATGTATAGAACACTATCCATGTATAGGACATTAGTGTGTGGTCTTGTATAGGAAGTAACTAAGTACTGTTCCTGATCTAGTCAAATGGTTGCTTGATCATCTTTGAATAAAGCCAAATGGCTTCATGGTTAAAGGGAGCAGTGAATGGTGGCAATACATGCCAAAAATAAAATTCACGTTCTGCAATTGTTTCTTATGATAGACATTATGTAACCAGCGGTAATTTCAGACTGAAAACCCTGTAGAATACTTTTTACTGCAAGCAAAATTGTTCTGGAATAACTGCAGTTGAAGATTTATTATAGTCATTCCACAGCTTTATTAGTCTCTAAAATGCATCAGTTTTTTATTGTCTGATTGCTTTCCCAGATAAGTTGATTACAGACATTTTGCCTGTTCTGCTAGCACAGTTTAGAAAGATCTTTTAATTATTGTAGTGCTGCTGGCTTTAAGCTGTCTAGATGCACTTATTGGATTTTATACCTTTGAAGTTTTCAGTTGTAGAGACCCATAAAATAAGTGGATCACTTACGCTATCTATAACCCACCTAATGAGCTTCAGAGACACCAGAATAATGGCAAGAAATTGTCATGCCATCAGATTTATCCTTTCACTCCCTGTCTCTGTGAGGGACAGCACAACTGCAAAAGCTAATTTGGCTAATGACCAGGGCTAAGCATGAGGAAGACAGACAGATGCATATGCAGACTTTTAATTTTAGGTAGAATTGTATGTCTTTCAGATCATAACTGAAACTTTGAACCTTGGACTAGGAAGGTAGGAGTGGCTGGGAAGAGAGAGCAGAAGAATTACTAAAACAGGAGGTCACAAAATCTATTGAAAAACTTCTGCTAGGCCTAATCTGTAATATTTTCTTTT